TTTAATAAAATTCAACATCCTTCATGATAAAACCCATAAAAATATCTGGGGATAGAAGGAATATATCTCAACATAATAAAAGCCATATATGACAGAACCACAGCTAGAATCATACTGAATGGGAGGAAACTGAAAGCCCTTCCTGTAAGATCTGGAACACAACAAAGATGCCCACTTTCACCACTGGTATTCAACATAGTACTGAAAGTCCTACTTAGAGCAATCAGACAAGAAAAAGAAATAAAGGGCATCCAAATTGGAAAGTAATAAGTTAAATTATCTTTGTTTTCTGATGACATAACCTTATATTTGAAAAAAAATCTAGCCAGGCACAGTGGCTCATGCCTGTAATCCCACCACTTTGGAAGGCCAAGGCATGTGAATCACCTGAGGTCAAGAGTTTGAGACCAGCCTGACCAACATGGTGAAACCCTGTCTCTACTAAAAATACAAAAATTAGCTGGGCGTGGTGGCAGGTGCCTGTAATCCCAGTTACTCGGGAGGCTGAGGCAGGTGAATTGCTTGAACCCAGGAGGCGGAGGTTGCAGTGAGCTGAGATTGCACCATTGCACTCCAGCCTGGGGGACAAGAGCAAGACTTCATCTCAAAAAAAAAAAAAGTGAAAGAAAAATATCTAGAGACTCCACCAAAAAACTATTAGAGGCCAAGCGTGGTGGCTAATGCCTGTAATCCCAACACTTTGGGAGGACAAGGCAGGCCAATCACTTGAGGTTAGGAGTTCAAGACCAGACTGGCCAACATGGCAAAACTCCGTCTCTACTAATAATACAAAAAAATTAGTTGGGCCTGGCGGTATGTGCCCATTGTCCCAGTGACTCAGGAGGCTGAGGCAGGAGAATCACTTGAATCTGGAGGCGGAGGTTGCAGTGAGCTGAGATTGCACCACTGCATTCCAGCCTGTGTGATGGAGTGAGACTCTGTCTCCAAAAAAAAAAACCTATGAGAACTGATAAACTCAGTAAAGTTGAGAGATACAAAATCAACATACAAAAATCATTGCATTTCTATATGCCAACAACAAACAATCTGAAAAGGAAATTTTAAAAAGTAATCCTGCTTATCATAGCCACAAATTAAATACCTAGAATTAACCAAAGCATTGAAAGAGATCTATAATTAAAACTATAAAACATTGATGAAAGAAATTGAAGAGGACACACAAAAAATGGAAAGATATTCCATGTTCATGGATTGGAAGAATCAGTACTGTTAAAATATCTATACTACCCAAAGCAATCTACAGATTTAATGCAATCCCTATCAAAATACCATGAAGTTCTTCACAGAAATAGAAGAAACAACCCCCAAAATTATATGGAACCACAAAGACCCAGAATAGCCAAAAACCATCCTAAGCAAAAAGAACAAAACTGGAGGAATCACATTAGCTAACTTCAAATTATACTACAGAGCTATAGTAACCAAAACAGCATGGTAATGGAATAAAAACAGATGCACAGACCAATGGAACAGAATAGAGAACCCAGAAACAAATCCACCCACCTATAGTGAACTCACTTTTGACAAACGTGACAAGAACATACACTGGGGAAAAGACAGTCTTTTCAGTAAATGGTGGCAGGAAAACTGAATATCCATATGCAGAAAAATGAAACTAGGCCCCTATCTCTTGTCATATAAAACAATCAAATCAAAATGGATTAAAGATTTAAATCTAAGACCTCAAATTATGAAACCACTACAAGAAAACATTGGGGAAATTCTCTAGGACATTGGTCTGGGTAAAAATTTCTGGCATAATACTCCACAAGCACAGGCAATTGAAGAAAAAAATGGACAAATGGGATCACATCAAGGTAAAACGCTTCTGCACAGAAAGGATACAGTCAACAAAGTGAAGAGACAACCCACAGAATGGGAAAAAATATGTGCAAACTACCCATCTAACAAGGAATTAATAACCAGAATACATAAGGGACTCAAACAATTCCATAGGAAAAAAATCTAATAATCTGATTAAAAATAGGCAAAAGATGGCCAGGCACGGTGGCTCATGCCTGTAATCCCAGCACTGTGGGAGGCCAAGGTGGGTGGATCACCTAAGGTTGGGAGTTCGAGACCAACCTGACCAACATGGTAAAACCCCATCTCCACTAAAAATACAAAATTAGCCAGGCGTGGTGGCGCATGCTTGTAATCCCAGTTACTAGGGAGGTTGAGGTAGGAGAACCACTTGAACCCGGGAGGCAGAGGTTGCGGTGAGCTGAGATCGTGCCATTGCATTCCAGCCTGGGCAACAAGAGAGAAACTCTGTCAAAAACAAAACAAAACAAAACAAAACAAAACACTTGATCATTAAAAAGTCAGGAAACAACAGGTGCTGGAGAGGATGTGGAGAAATAGGAACACTTTTACATTGTTGGTGGGACTATAAACTAGTCAACCATTGTGGAAAACAGTGTGGCGATTCCTCAAGGATCTAGAACTAGAAATACCATTTGACCCAGCTATCCCATTACTGGATATATACCCAAAGGATTATAAATCGTGCTGCTATAAAGACACATGCACAAGTATGTTTACTGCGGCACTATTCACAATAGCAAAGACTTGGAACCAACCCAAATGTTCATCAATGATAGACTGGATTAAGAAAATGTGGCACATATACACCATGGAATACTATGCAGCCATAAAAAAAGATGAGTTCATGTCCTTTGTAGGGTCATGGATGAAGCTGGAAACCATCATTCTCAGCAAACTATCGCAAGGACAGAAAAACCAAACACTGCATGTTCTCACTCATAGGTGGGAATTGAACAACGAGAACACTTCGACACAGGAAGGGGAACATCACTGTTGTGGGGTCGGAGGAGTGGGGAGGGATAGCATTAGGAGATATACCTAATGTAAATGACGAGTTAATGGGTGCAGCACACCAACATGGCACATATATACATATGTAACAACCCTGCACATTGTGCACATGTACCCTAGAACTTAAAGTATAATAAAAAAAATTTTTTTTTAATTAAAAAAAGGGTAAAATAAATGGCAAAAGATTTGAATCGACATTTCTCAAAAGAAGACATACAAATGGCAAACAGGCATATGAAAAGGTGCTCCACATCATTGATCATTAGAGACATGCAAATCAAAACTACAGTGAGATATCACCTCAGCCCAGTTAAAACAGCTTTTACCCAAGAGTCAGGCAATAAGAAATGCTGGCAACGATGTGGAGCAAAGGGAACCCCTGTACACTGTTGGTGGAAATGTAAATTAGTACAACCACTATGGAAAACAGTTTGGAGGTTCCTCAAAAAGCGAAAAATTGGGCTACCATATGATTCAGCAATCTTATGATTAATGCAACGCTATTCACAATATCCAAGATTTGGAAGCAACCTAAGTGTCCATCAACAGACAAATGGATAAAGAAAATGTGGTATGTATAGGCAATGGAGTACTATTTAGTTATAAAAAAGAATGAGATCCTATCATTTGCAACAACATGGATGGAACTGGTGGTCATTATGTTAAGTGAAATAAGCCAGGCACTGAAAGACAAACCTCACATGCTCTCATTTATTTGTGGAGTTAAAAATAAAAACAATTGAACTCATGAACATAGTAGACGGATGGTTACCAGAGGCTATGAAGGGTAGTAGGAGAGTTGGGTGGGGGAGATGGGGCTATTTAATGGGTTAAAAAAATAGTTAAATTGTTAAAATGGCCATACTGCCCAAAGCAGAGAAATCTACAAAGCAGGGAACTACAAAACCACAATGACATACCATCTTACACCAATCAGAATGGCTATTAATAAAAAGTCAAAAAACAACAGATGTTGGAGAGGATGTGGAGAAAAGGGAATGCTTATACATTTTTAGTGGGAATGTAAATTAGTACAATCTCTATGGAATACAGTATGGAAATTTCTCAAAGAGCTAAAAATAGAACTACCATTCAATCCAGCAATTCCACTACTGGGTATCTACCCAAAGGAAAAGAAACCATTATATGAAAAAGACACCTGCACTCATTATGTTTATCATAGCACTATTCACAATAGCAAAGTCAGAGAATCAACCTAAGTGTCCATCAAGGGATGACTGGATAAAGAAAACACATACACACACAGAAACACACACACACCACCGAACACTACTCAGCCATAAAATAAAACTGAACGCCATTATCCTAAGTAAAATAACTTAGGACGAGAAAAGGATGAGAGAACTAGGAAGTAGTGAGAAGAGAGGGATACTGAGGGGCATGAGGGAACTGTTAAGTGATAATCTCATGGGTGTATGCATATGTCAAAGGTTATCAAATTGAGCTGGGCGCGATGGCTCATGCCTGTAATCCCAGTACTTTGGGAGGCCAAAGTGGGCAGATTGCCTAAGGTCAGGAGTTTGAGACCAGACTGGCCAACATGGTGAAACCCTGTCTCAACTAAAAGTACAAAAAATTTAGCTGGTTGTGGTGGCACACACCTGTAATCCCAGCTATTCGGGAGGCTGAGGCGGGAGAATCACTTGAGCCTGGGAGGCAGAAGTGGCAGTGAGCCAAGATTGCACACTGCACTCCAGCCTGGACGATAAGAGTGAAACTCTGTCTCACAAAAAAAACAAACAAACAAACAAAAAAAAACTTACCAAATTGTGTACTTTAGTATGTACAATTTGTTGTATTATGTCAATTTACCACAAGGAAGCTGTGTTTTAAAATAATGTGGAGCAAATTTGACAAAATATTAACATTTATTAAATCTTGACAGTGAGTACGTTGGTGTTAATGTTTCTCCATACTTTTCTATATACTTAAAATCATTCATAATATAATTTAGAAAATCTAATCAAATCCCTAATGTTACTGCTAAGCAAACTGAGTAAATGGTAGAGAGAGGGCTGGGGCCTAGACCTCTAGACTCCCAGTTTAATGCTTTTTTCATTTTATGAGAGAAAAAGTAGTAAATTTGCATACATATATAAGGTTCAGAGAGAAATGCTTACCCTTAAATGTATTCATTGTGCCAATGTTTCGAAGAATTCTTCTAGGACTGTTTGCTGCATAACAAGCTGCCTTTTCATATTCACCAAGTGAGATTAACTCATTAAATCTATAGGCATCACATTTTATAATGTGTTATAATGACACAAAAAGAGAAAAAACTGATTAGAAATGTTTAATACAGACCAAATATAGTGGCATAAAGATATGGAAAAACAAAAGGAATTCTAATAAACTGTAACTAGAATCATTCACCCTGTAAGATGTTCTCTGAAATCTTTCTCTAATATTCTGTTGGGTTTTTTTTAAGTCTCAGAATAAAACTCCCACCTGCTAGCTAACTTTGAACATGATCCTAAACTTTATTCCTATAGCACTTACAGCAAGCCATAGAGAATGGAAGAAAGAACTTGAATTTATTATGAACTCAGATTTTTTTCCCCGCATATCATTTCCACATGAAAAAGTACTGGTATCAGAGGAAAGAAGGGCAATCTACTTAGAAATGCCACCTGAAGGAAATACTAATTGAAGACAGAAGCTGCTAAATTGGGCCGGGTGTGGTGGCTCACACCTGTAATCCCAGCACTTTGGGAGGCCGAGGCGGAGGGGATCATGAGGTCAGGAGATCGAGACCATCCTGGCTAACATGGTGAAACCCCGTCTCTACTAAAAATATTAAAAAAAAAAAAAAAAAATTAGCCAGGTATGGTGGCATGTGCCTGTAGTTCCATCTGCTCAGGAGGCTGAGGCAGGAGAATCACTTGAACCCAGGAGGCGGAGCTTGCAGTGAGCCGAGATTGCGCCACTGCACTCCAGCCTGGGCCACAGAGCTAGACTCCATCTCGAAAAAAAAAAAAAAAAGAAGCTGCCAAATTGGAGATCAAGAGGTGTCCTTGGTATTCAGAAGCCTATCTTGTTCTGCCAGGCAACAGGCTCCCAGTCAAAGATTAACACAAGAAGGAAAGATAATAGTTAAGATAACTTAAGCCTCTACTCCTCTTCCTATGGCAAAAGGTCTTCAAATCAGTCCTTACCTCACAATTAATAAAACTAGGATAAACAGAAGTTACATAGTGCTGCAAATGAATGTAGAACCCCAGGCGGAAAACCTACTAAAGTAATATTAAGCAAAATACATAAAACTTTCAATCTCAATGAGGGTTTTTCTCTCATATCAAACTGTCAGACTTAGAGAAGCATTACAGTGTAAGGAAATAACATGGGCTTTTGTGCTCTCCCCAAAATTATCTTTACCCCCTTCTTTTTACCATACCAACCTTCCAATTAACAGTTGAAAACTGTTTAACATATAAAGACCAGGAATATTACATATGTTCATTACAGATAAGCCTTATAGCCTGTGAATTAACCTCTTAAAGAATATAGTCTTACTATGTATTAAAAATGTTTAAAAATGCACCTGCATGTTAAACACCAAGGGAGCAGCTGTGTGGGGAAAAAAGGAGGGAAAAGGAATTGAAGACAGGAGGAATGATACACAGCGGGATGTTAACTATAACAAACTTCTACAAAAACAGCTGAAGCAAATACTGCAAAATGTTAACTTCTTGCTAAATTGGTACACAGAATAACATTTTGTTAATGTTATTCTCTGTATTTTTATGAATACTTGAAAAGATTTGATAAGAGTAATATTTGATAAAAAGTAAACAAAGTATAAAAAAGGATACAGTCTTAAATCTCTTTAATCTTCTATTATATACTATATATAATAACTTAAGTATTAGGGAGAAATATGCCTTCTTAATAAGTCATGGGATAGAAATAATGAGAAAGAAAGGACTGAATTGGCTAGAATAATCTGAATCAGGAAGACATTCTCAAAAACATTTTGTAACATCAGGTTGATAGCTAGGAAATGTAAGAAAAATACAGGCTGAGATTCCCTTATCCTAAATGCTTGGGACCAGAAATGTTTTGGATTTCAGATTTTTTCATATTTTAGAATATATGCATATACATAATGAGATATCTTGGGGATGAGACCCAAGTCTAAACACAAAATTTATATTTCATATATACCATATACACATAGCCTGAAGGTAATTTTGTGTAATACTTTTTTTTTTTTTTTTTTTGAGTCTTGCACCATTGCTTGGGCTAGAGTGTGCAGTGGCACAATCTCAGCTCACTGCAACCTCTGCCTCCCAGGTTCAAGCAATTCTCCTGCCTCATTCTCCCTAGTAGCTGGCATTACAGGCATCCGCCACCACGCCCAGCTAATTTTTTGTATTTTTAGTAGAGATGGGGTTTCACCATGTTGGCCAGGCTGGTCTCGAACTCCTGACCTTGTGATTCACCTGCTTCAGCCTCCCAAAGCGTTGGGATTACAGGCGTGAGCCACTGTGCCCAGCCGGTAATTTTATATAATACTTCTAATAATTTTGTGCATGAAACAAAGTTTGTGTACATTGATTCATCAGAAAACACAGGTATCACTATCTCATGTCAGTGCTCAAAATTTTTTGGATTTTGGAGCATTTCAGATTTCAAATTTTCGGATTAGGAATGCTTAACCTGTATAAATAAAACATATCAACATTATAATCCTCTTATCTCCTCTGAAAAACCTCCTAGATTCCCAATGTGGTATTTTATTCGCAAAGAATCTATGAAAAAATATAATCCTGAAAAATTAAAGCTTTTAAAATAGTTGCCTTTCAATGTAGTGAAGCATAATTTCAGCTTCTTTTGCCCTGTGTGGATCATCTTCCATTAGTTCTTCAACAATGCCTTGGTCACCTGTAAATATTGAAAGTACCACTGGAAGATATTTAAGGTTACTTATCAATAGAAAACAATAAACATACATGTGTTTAATACCAACAACTTATTGCTATAGATCCTAACAGCATCAACCTCTTCCAAAACTTAGTGGCCTCCTCCTCCCTTTCCTCTTTATGTTGATGTACATTTTCAGGCATTCTGTCTTTGGCTCACCAAGTCTGTTCTTTACTAATTACCTGTTAGCTGTTGAAGGAAGGAACCCATAGGGTAACAGAACTAGCTGAAGTATGTTTTTGCTTTATTTTAACTCGGCCTAAGAAAACCCCATTCTAACTTTCTAGGGGAAAAAAATGTCTTCCATTATTGCTACTAATTTTAAAATATAGATAATCTACCTTGTAAATATTTGGTTTTCTGAATTTGCTCCACAAAGTCTTGAAATGGGCTGCTCATATCAGATTTTACCCATGAAGTAAGTGCCTGTGAAATTATCTGCAGTCTTTGATGACTATAAAGATAAAAAACGTCAATAACATACTGAGCCTAAAATCAAATGGTGGAATATTAGAATAAACACAAATAAAACTCCAAACTTCAAAAACATATGATCAACTTCCATACCAAAACTGTAACTTTCTGTTCAGATTTTCAGCTACATCTCGCCGTTTTAATAACACAATCATTTCTTCATCTAAATCAGACTTCCTCTGAGCTGGCACATATTTTATCAACATAGCTTGTTTAATTTCTGCATATTTATCTTCAAGATGTTTCATGTATTTAGTGAGAGCATCTAGATTCATGGATTCTTGGAGAGTCATGCCTATGGGAAAAGGGAACAAATCAAACAGGCCAAGCCATGTGTGGGACGTCTGTGTTCAAAGAGCAAGTCTTAGAAAGACAGTTCACTATGTTAAGAAACAATTTAGAAATGATAGTATGTACTTACAGCTTACTGAACATAGGTAAAATTAGCATAAACTTGTAAATGGCTAGCAGGTTATTACTGATTGATTGATTGATTGTATAGAGACAGTCTAGTCTTAAACTCCTGGGCTCAAGCAATCTGCCCACTTCAGCCTTCCAAAGCGCTGGGATTAAAGGCGTGAGCCACTGTGCCAGGCCAGGCTAGCAGTTTTACTTTAATTTATTTTATTTGTATTTTTTTTGAGACAGAGTCTCACTCTGCTGCCCAGGCTGGAGTGCAGTGATATAATCTTGGCTCACTGCAATATCCGTCTCCCAGTTCAAGCGATTCTCCTGCCTCAATTTCCTGTAGTAGCTGGGACTATAGGCACGTGCCACCATGCCCGGCTAATTTTTGTATTTTTAGTAGAGACGGGGTTTCACTATGTTGGCCAGGATGGTCTTGAACTCCTGACCTCAGGTGATTCACTCACCTCGGCCTCCCAAAGTGCTGGGATTACAGGCGTGAGCCACCACACCCGGCCTCAGGCTAGCAGTTTTAAACATTATCAATGAAGACTCAGTGAAGACTGAGAACACACAAACCTTAGCATCTGAAAAAAATTTTTTTAGTGATTTCATTAACATACCCTGAAGACCCCTAAATATCACTCTTACTCAGTAACGCCAAGAGCTTCTGCCTAACAATTCAGGATTTGTCAACTGATTTCTCTCTAAACAAATCTCTCATTACCCTATTATAGCGAACCCCAGAGTAATCAGTTTATTATTCCCAACACAAATATAAATGCCTGCCAAATCTTCAGCCCTCTCTCTCACTGTCCCCTCTACTTATTATTCCTCTCTCTCTTTCTCTTCAAATGCCTTTGAGAGAGAGAGAGAGAGAGAGACTCTCACAGGGTCTACCCAGGCTGGTCTCAAACTCCTGGGCTCAAGAGATCCTCTCACTTCAGCATCCCAAAGTGCTGGGATTACAGGCATGAGCCACTGTGCCCAGCCCTAAATAATCTTCCTTTCTCATCTGGGCCAATTGTTGACTTCAGTACATATTACAAAATACTCCTCCTCCAAAAACTTACCTGAATTGATTCTACTTGATTTTAACCAGTCCCTTACCCAGAATCTTCTCAGCACTTAGTCGCAATTTGCCAGTTATACTGTACTTATTAATGTGTATCTTATTCATCATTTGCTAGTCACAATTTTATATTTGAAAGTGAATCTAGGCCGGGCACGGTGGCTCACGCCTGTAATCCCAACACTTTGGGAGGCCAAGGCGGGTGGATCACAAGGTCAGGGGATCGAGACCATCCTGGCTAACACAGTGAAACCCCGTCTCTACTAAAAACACAAAGAAATTAGCCAGGTGTGGTGGCAGGCACCTGTAGTCCCAGTTACTCGGGAGGCTGAGGCAGGAGAATGGTGTGAACCCAGGAGGCGGAGCTCGCAGTGAGCCGAGATCGGGCCACTGCACTCCAGCCTGGGTGACAGAGCGAAACTCCGTCTCAAAAAAAAAAGAAAGTGAATCTAGTCCCCACTTTTATGAAACACAAGATGACTATTCAACCTCAGTTGAAATCCTTTAGTATAGAGTAGCTCATTACTTCAAGACATAGCTTCTTCCACCGAGACCAAATCTGGCTTCCTAAAATTCTACCTATTAATCCTGCCTCAGAATAAACACTAGCCAAAATCTTTAAAAGTTTGGAATACCATTATGTATTCTCAAAGTCTTTCTTTTTTCCAGGATGAATATTTGTAATTCCTCTATCCACTCATCGTAAAAACCTCTCCATATCCTAGATGAATTCCAGGATATACTACAATTTCTTAAAATATGGTAACAGTATTATGCTGAAGATGTGGAAGCAGTGAATGCTGACATCAACATGAATCAACAATATCCACCAAAACTTAATACACTACAGTTTACTTTATATTATACCAGTGGTTCTCAAACTTTAGAGTGCATCAAAAAAACCTGAAGTGGCTGGGCACAGTGGCTCACGCCTTTAATCCCAGCACTTTGGGAGGCTGAGGCGGGTGGATTGCTTGAGCCCAGGAGTTTGAGACCAGCGTGGACAACACGATGAAACCTCGTCTCTACTAAAAACACAAAAATTAGTTGGGCATAGTGGCACACACCTGTAATCCTAGCTACTTGGGAGGCCAAGGCACAAGAATCGCTTGAACCCTGGAGAGGGAAGTTGCTATGGGCCGAGATCACACCACTGCACACCCAGCCTGGGTGCCTGAGAGAGACTAGGTGTCAAAAAAAAAAAAAAAAAAGAAAAGAAAAAGAAAAGAAAATCCTGAAGGACTTGTTAAGACACTGCTGAACTCCACCCATCGAGTTTCTGACACAGTGAAGTCTCTGATCTGATGGGAACCATGAATTTGCATTTCTAAGAGGTCTTTAGATGATGCTGACATTGATACAGGAACCACACTTCAGGAGTCACTGCATTACACTTCATATAACCCAGCTGACTGAAACTCAATCTTTCAGAGTTTGTTTTTCCATTCCCTTGAATCTACCTAGAGTCCTGACTAAAATTGTGTACAACACACATGTGCAAGATGCACATACATCAGCACATTTATAATAATGAGTGGCTTAGGTAAAAAATTGGAAATAATCAGGATTTCTCTCAAATATTTTAAACAAAATACAATACCTGGAATAGGTTTTGAAGGATCTTTGGAGAAAGTACAATATTTTACTTCTTTCGTGTCATACGCTGCCCTAGACTGCTTGATTTGATCTATTTGAGATTGAATCTTCGAGGAATTATTTTCAATAATCCTCATTCTGGAAAACAGAAAGGCTTTATTATGTCTTTCAACTAACTTAATTCTTGAACCACAAAACCTCAAGTAAAACAGTTTAAATCATTACTTTATTTTGAACCATTATGGACTAGGTGAAATGCCCTGAAAAAGTTATCTGGCCTCACAAATGAGGAACAATTTTCTTTCTGAGCATCAATAAAATCTCATACTACGATTCTGAACCCTACTGGAAATTCATAAGTGCTAATCACAATAATATGGCCACAAACTATTCTCTTTAGCAGAAAATTACTTTTGTAATTTAAAAATTCTTTTGGTAGGTAATTATATTAATTTCCTGTGGCAACTGTAACAAATTACCACTAACTTGGTGACTTCAAACAACAGAAATTTATTCTCTTACAATTCTGGAAGCCAGAAATTCAAAATCAGTATCACCGGATCAAAATCAAAGTGTTGGCAGAGCCATGCTTCCTTCAGAATCTGTTCCTTACCTTTTCCAGCCTTGGGGCTGCAGGCATTCTGACTTTATCACTTCAGTCTCTGCCTCTGTGGTCATACCGCCTTCTCCTCTGCCTGTGGCAAAGCTCCTACTTCCCTCTTATTAGGACATTTATGATCATATTTAGGGCTTACTTTTATAACCTCCCTATATCAAAATCTTTAATTACATCTGCAAAGACCCTTTGTCCAAATAAGGTTAACATTTAGGGGTTCTAGAGAGTAGGACCTGATGTCTTTGAGAACTGTTATTCAGCCCACTACAGTAATTTTGATCCTAGAGCTAGAGGAAGGACAGCACTTCCCTGAGATAAAACTAAGTTTACCTAGAAATGAAAATTTTGAATACCAAAAGGTAGTATAAACTTTTCTTAAGCATTATTTGAAGTTTTCTTCCTAGTTATGTTGGCCCAAGGGAGAAATAACATATTAAAATACACACAGAAAAATTATTTTTGACACTTGTTAAAGCATGGTAAGGAAGACTTTTTTCAAGAGGGGCCATGCCAATAGGTACAGGAACCACTGCAACGGAGAATGATTGGATTCAATCTGAATATGACATGGCAAGTGGGAATTTATAGCTAAGGAGCAAGGTGGGGTCAGTGGATGACAAATTACTAAAAGAAAACATGAGATGTGAGGAGAGATTCTGGATCAACGGACCTAAGAGGATTCCTGTTGAAGGCAGGCCACGGTAACTAGACATCACCTGGGGGATGGTTCGGGGATCACATGTCATGGATGGGGAGTTCTGGCTAAACTTACTTTACAGGATTCTTGCTAAAACGGAATGGTGCAGAGATGAATGTAGAAGTCCAGAAGTCGGGCCTAGTTGAAAAGGGTTCAGGGAAGCCTGAGTAAAATTTGATCAGGAAGATAATTTTTGTCAATATATAAATGTCACAGTGTTTTTGGCAAATTAAAAACAAGTTTGGGCCAGGCTCAGTGGTTCACACCTGTAATCCCAACACTTTGGGAGGCCGAGGCAGGTAGATCATGAGGTCAGGAGTTTGAGACCAGCCTGACCGACATGGTGAAACCCCATCTCTACTAAGAATACAACAGTTAGCTGGGTGTGATGGTGGGCACCTGTAATCCCAGCTACTTGAAAGGCTGAGGCAGGAGAATAATTTGAACCTGGAAGGTGGAGGTCGCAGTGAGCTGAGATCATGCCATTGCACTCCAGCCTGGATGACAGGGCAAGACTCCGTCTCAAAAGATAAAAAATAAAATAAAAAACAAGTTTGTCAGTAGATACTGCTGGCTGCTGCTTCTGACTATTATATAGTGTTCTTGGTAACTATTGATGGCTCAGAGTAAGAGCTTGCAGTATTAATGAAAGGATTGTGGGAATAAAATATCCACTGGCTTTATTCCAAATTGATTTGTGCTTATAAACGAAAGATATGTTTAAAAAAAAAAAAAGGCAGGTTTTCAAAAGAAACTGAAAGCAGATACTTGTACATGAATTTTCAGAGTGGCATTATTCACATAGACAAAAATGGAAACAATCCAAGTGTCGAAAAACAGATGAATGGATAAACAAAATGTAGTACATACATACAATGGAGTATTATTCAGCCATAAAAAGGAATTAAATTCTAATACATGTTACCACATGGATGAGAAAGTATCTAACTGTTGCTCCCTTCTATGCTAATTTTATGATCTCTATTTTTGACAACTTCACTAAGATGAACCTAGTTGAGTATTTCTTAGTATTTATCATGCTTGGGATTCTTTGGGTTTGTGGAATCTGTGAATCCGTATCTTTCACATATTTTCAGTGTTACATTTGGTAAATGATGGATACATTATTTTTATAGATAATTTTAAGTCAACTTGGAAAACTATGCAAAGTTTGACCTCCATTTCTGGTAATATGACTGGCTAGATGCTGAGATAGATCTTCCTATTGGGAAAAAGTACTACATAATATATTTTTTAAAAATCTTTCCAAAAGAAAGTCAAAATCAGGGCAAAATCTAACAGAAGACAGAAAACTCGTAGCCATTATTTCTTCAAATATTGTCTGTGTCCCATATTCTCTTCATTGTAGAGCTGTGATTAGACATAATAATATGACCTTCTCACTCTGTCCTCCATATCGTTTTATAATAGCTTTATTGAGATATAGTTCACACACCTTAAGAATCATCCTTGTAAAGTATACATAATTCAAGGAATTTTAGTATAGTTGTGCAACCACAACCACTATTTAATTCCAGAACATTTCATTGGCCCAAAATAAACTATATACCCATCAGCAATCAGCTGAGTAAAGGGCAATTTTCCCTGCATTCCCAGGGTTGGAGCAGTTTACCTCTGGTTCACCCTACGATGGTATACCTAGCCTTTTACCATCCTAGCTTTATATGGTGAGTGTTTCCCAATAGACTATACCATGTGGAGCGATCCTGGGCTTTGCCTTTTATTCTGCATGCGATAGTAAAAACTGAAAATTATGGTCACTAGTTTTTAAAAAAATGTTCTCGGGGTCAAAGTAGTTTTAGTGCTCCACTTATCTTTTGTCTTCTGTTAGATTATGCCTTGATTCTGACTTTCTGATGCTTTTGGAAAGATTTTTGAAAAAATATATTATGTAGTGTTTTTCCCCAGTAGAAAGGTCTATCTCAACATCTAGCCAGCCATATTACCAGAAATAGAGGTCAAACTTTGCATAGTTTTCCAAGTTGATTTAAAATTATCTATAAAAGGCTGGGCACAGTGGCTCATGCCTGTAATCCCAGCACTTTGGGAGGCTGAGGTGGGCGGATCACCTGAGGTCAGGAGTTCGAGACCAGCCTGGCCAACATGGTGAAACCCCATCTCTACTAAAAATACAAAAAGAAAAATTAGACGGGTGTGGTGGCGGGAACCTGTAATCCCAGCTACTTGGAACACTGAGGCAGGAGAATCGGTTGAATCTGGGAGACGGAGGTTGCAGTGAGCCATGAGCCAAGATCACGCCATTGCATTCCAGCCTGGACAAGACCAAAACTCCATCTCAAAAAAAAAAAAAAAAAAAATTATCTATAAAAATAATTTATCCATCATTGATCAAATGTAATACTGAAAATAGAAGACTACTCAACAAGATTGAGCATCTTATCCTCTCCCAGTAGGTTATTTACCTTTGTGAATAACAGGATTAAGTGCTCTAATTCAGATAGTAACTATGAAATTATACTATTAAATCTTCCATGGAGGAAATTACCTGGAGCAATTACCTGTATCCCTTATTTATTTTATTTTAGTCTTTTTTTTTTTTTTCCTTGAAATGGGTTCTCACTCTGTCACCCAGGCTGGAGTGCAGTGGTGCAATCGTGGCTCACTTGTCTCCATCTCTCAGGCTTAACCAATCCTCCCACCTCAGCCTTCCAAGCAACTGGGACCACACCCAGCTAATTTTTTTTTGAACTTGTAAAGACAGGGACTCACCATGTTGCCCAGGCTGATCTCAAACTCCTGGGCTCAGGTAATCCTCCTACCTCGGCCTCCCAAAGTGCTGGGATTACAGGTGATGAGCCACCCTATGTGGACCCTCGTTTTATGATACGACAATGTGCTTTCAATTATACTAAGAGGGGCAGGAGTGGTGGCTCATGCCTGTAATCCCAGCACTTTGGGAGGCCAAGGCATGCAGATCACTTGAGCTCACAAGTTGGAGACCAACCTGGGCAACATGGCAAGACCCCATCTCTACAGAAAATACAAAAATTAGCCTGACATAGCAAAACTCCACCTCTACAGAAAAAAAAAAAATACAAAAATTAGCCAGGTATGGTAGCTTTTGCCTGTACTCCCAGCTACTTGGGAGGCTGAGGTGGGAGGATCACTTGTGCCTGGGAGGCAGAGTTTGCAGTGGGCCAAGATCAAGCTACTGCATTCCAGCCTGGGCAACAAGAATGAAACCCTGCCTCAAAAAAAAAAAAAAAAAAAAAAAAAATATATATATATATATATATATATACACACACACACTAAGAGGTACTGTAAGTTCTCAAACAAAAGTATTATTTTTTAATTGAAGTAAATAATACAGTAACTTCAAGTTACTAGGAGAAGGTAACATAAAAATGTGTCTTTTAAATAAAATTGAAAAATAAGACTAAGAGCCACCGGCTAGAGTTACACTGCTAGTTATTATAATCAAGCAACAACTACTATCTTTTGGGCTAGTTACTAAAATACTTACTTTGCTTCAAGTTGGATTGTTCTTTTCCTGTGATATACCAAAGCTGTAGGCTCTGCTGCCAAACCTTTAAGTTTTCCATGAAGACAAAATGCAGTTCTTCGGCCTTTCTTTATTGTCTCAATAAAGGCATCATATTCTTTTTTGATTGAAGTAAGAATGGATTTGTATGCAGTGACATGCTCTATTACCTGAAATATTATTTTTCTGCCTATGGTATTGATATTTTTTTCTAGAAGACTATGGATTGAAATTCTCACAAATAACATTATAGATTATTTTAAAAATGAAATATGATTAGCAATTAGAAATCTAAACTTTACAGCAAGCTCAAACATAATTGGACACTAAAGGCAATATTTACTAAATATGTGCTCTTTGTGGAACATTATGGTAGATAATGTGGAGTTTAAATATGAGAGGAAAAAATGACCACATTTTTGTTCTACTTGGTATGAACACATACATTATATGATTTCAGTTAAAACTAATACTAGTTCTAATTTTCCCAATTCTGAATCTTTTAAATATAATTCTGTATCTTCTCTTACTCCCTCCAAATCTAGTCTCTAACTTCATTTAAACCTTAAAATCCTAGATTCTCTTCACCTCCTTATTTTTCTAACCCATCAGCTCCTATTGGCTCATCAATATTCTCAATATCTAATTGCATTTCTAATCCCAGGATGTCATGTGCAACTGTAAAAAATCCCTCATCACTATACATTCATGGCTTCAAATGGTGTTTAGGCACAGAAAATCTCTGGAAGGATAACAGAAGAAAACAGAAACAGTGGGTGCCTGCAGAGAAGGACAGGAGAAGTAGAATCTGTGATGAGAAGGGCCAGACTTTCCATTGTACAATCTCCTGTACTGGTTTATTCATTCATTTTTTGTTAATATTATATATGCATTACCCATGCAAAAATAAAGAAATATTTTTAAATAAGTCAAAAAATAAAAATAGAAAAGTTATAAATAATGTATGGTTTCCAAGTTCTGCACATGAGGATTTCAGAGGGATTGCTGAATACAGAGAATAGACAGGCTCAATTCCTAATTTTCTCAGAAAGCTGCAATTATGCTTCCTATTCCTTCTACATCTCTAGCCGCTGGTATCCCCCACTGGCTTTCTTTACCTAGGCAATATCTAGAAAAAATTATCTAGGAAGGCATCTGGTCTATCAGCAAATGATGCCAGGAGATTATTGATCTCCTGGCAAGTGCCATGGAGATGACTACACTACCTATCCACCCATATCAAGAATCTTTAATAAAACGGAGGTCATCAATCTGTGGCTTTCCAAATTAAGTACCCTGTTGCTCCTGGCCATCTGCTTCATACACTCCTCTGATATGCTCCAACAATCCAAGACAGTTCATATACATTAATGAGTAGATAATAAATATGTAGTGGTATCATGATTAGCTCCCAAGTCTGTTTGCTAGAAGAAACAGATTTCAGAAGAGCATTCATGGGAACCTTTATGAATGCACAGAAAATACACTAAAGTAGAATATGCAAACTGGCACACCACAGGTTGAATACAGCTGGCAATTTTGCTTAACCAACAAAATATTTTAAAATTTAGGAAATTTCACCCAAAAACCACATTTTCAGCTTCTCTTGCAAACTCTGAAAAATCTACCTCCATGGAACCCCTATTCCTTAATGGCAATAATAGCTGGAGTTTTCGATTAGGTTGGTTTTTCATTTTACCACAATCCCCACCACTCCTTATTCTCTTATAGCCAGCCCACTTAACTCTTTTATATTACCTTGGTGGCCTCTGCAGGCATTTAAGTTTGAGACTCCTGCATTAAGGCTGCTACTAAATCCAAGAAAATAACCATAGCTATACTTACCAGTTACAGGGGTCTGAGGGAGAAGAGGTATGGTTTTCATTCCCCCTCAGCTCCTACATACAGATCTGAACTATTTGTACAATATGCTACAGGAACACAAAAGGTCAGCCACTTTACAGAGTCCAGCTACCTCCATAGCCTCGCCCCCCTTTTCTTTTTTGGTAGAGACAGAGTCTTGCTATGTTGCCCAGGCTGGTCTCAAACTCCTGGCCTCAAGCGATGCTCCTACCAATCCTCTCAAAGTTCTAGGATTACAGACACGAGCTATTGCACCCAGCCGAGTAAGTCATCCATTTCTAAAAGACCTCATTCTTCCAAGCTTTGGTCTTCTTTGCTTACTAGGTTTTTCATTCACCCTGCAATCCACCCCCAACTCTTGGTATGAGTTTCAAGTCCTCCTTGCTTTGATTCAGGCATGATTCTCCAGGTCAAACCATCTATCTTTGATTTTAAACACAATTTGGTATTTGTTCCCTGGTTCAAAGTACCCAGAGATGCAAGCTGACACTTTTATCTTCTGCCCAACTAGTTCCTTTTAAGAGGGTAAGAAGATCAAAGAAGACAGTCATTAATAGTTCATTAATAATCAAAGGTGCTAAAATAATGTGAAAATGAAAAAGGTAAATTATCTGTTATCAAGAAGCTAGAAGAAAAGTTTCTCAAAGTACCAAATGACTTCCATTTCTAGATCCCCTCTCAGTCCTGAAGAACAGAATTCTTTACAAGGTAAAATTTACAATTATGTAATGTGCAAATAGTACAAATGGAAATCTTTTCTCCTCACTAGGAGAAAAGAAACAGGGACTATAGACGTCAATATTATTTTCTATTTAACACTGTATGTTTTCTCTAGGAATTAAAGTTACCAACAATACCTCCAAAATGACTTCACTATAACTACATTAATGCAAAGCAAAGAGCTCTTCATGTAAGAAAAATTCTGACAAGTGTTAGCACTCGGGCATGCAAAGATACACGTTACAGTTATGACTTTCCTTTGCTAATTTCACACAGTAGAGTCGCAGCATGACTCTTGATATTTATAAAACCTATTCAATACATTATCTTTATTTAAACATCCATTCAATACATTCCTTGATAACTAAAACACCAAGAGCAGTATCATTGATCATAATGCATATAAAATGAAGCTAACCTGCCAATGTACCAATTCTAAAAGATAGATTTTCTGTATGATATAAAAGGAAGGAAAGGCCCGGCGCAGTGGCTCACGACTGTAATCCCAGCACTTTGGGAGGCCTAGGCGGGCGGATCACAAGGTCAGGAGATCGAGACCATCCTGGCTAACACGGTGAAACCCAGTCTCTACTGAAAATCACAAACAACAATAGCGGGCGTGGTGGCGGGCGTCTGTAGTCCCAGCTACTTGGGAGGCTGAGGCAGGAGAATGGTGTGAAGCCGGGAGGCGGAGCTTGCAGTGAGCCGAAATCGCGTGATTGCACCACTGCACTCTAGCCTGGGCCACAGAGTGAGACTCCGTCTCAAAAAAAAAAAAAAAAAGGAAGGAAGGAAAGACTCTGTTTCTCTCTATTACTCCTATGATTATGTATCAACTTTCCTTATTCTGGTAGGTATATACCACTATCATATGCTCACTTTCCCTTAGAGGGAGGCACTAGGTTTTTATTTAGAGGAGAAATAAGAGTCATAGTGTATAATGTTTAAAAATTAAAAGACTGAGTTTCTATTTTGCCTGTGGCTGTTTACTCAGAGACCAACAGTTTACTGAAGTCTTAAGGTAAGTACTTCCTCTGGCAAAGAGGAAAGATGTTGATTTCACTTATTTCACTGTCAGGGCATCTTCCCGGAATGGGGTGGAAAAAAAAGCGCTGCATAAATAAATTAGGATTGGTGGGCAAACTGCAATTGTTTAGAAGGATAATAGGTATTTCTAAAACTTTAAAAAGCAAAATCAAATATGTTCCACAAAGTGATAACATTTTCTAAGCTGATCTCCATATTTCCAATATTAAGTCCAGTCTAATTCCTTGTAAACCATGACTAGATAATTCTAGACAGAACTCCAATATACAAGGAACCTCAATTTAATGTTAGATCAAATCTAAATCAAGATTTTAATGATACCACAAACAAACTCAAAATAACAAGGGAGCATCATGCTCCTGCTTGCAGCCCAATTCCTAATAAATCAGATGATACTTTTAGATGAAAAGGTCAAAATTATTATCAGAGAGCAGATACAGCCAGGTAGTTAATCAAAAACTGATAGTCTGGGCTAGGCGCTGGTAGTTCATGCCTGTAATCCCAGCACTTTAGGAGGCCAAGATAGGAGGATTGCTTGAGGCCAGGAGTGCAAGACCAGCCTAGGCAACATAGAGATCTTGTCTCTACAAAAAAATTTAAAAATTAGTCAGGAGTGGCGGCACAAGCCTGTAGTCCCAGCTATACAGGAGGCTGAGGCAGGAGGATCACTTGAACCCAGGATTTTGAGGCTGCAGTGAGATATGAGTGTGCCACTGCACTCCAGCCTGGGTGATACAGTGAGACTCTGTCTTTAAAAATATATATAAAGGAAACTTATAATCTGCTCTCAAGCTAAGATAACTGAAACACTCATTCACAGTCAGGAAATACAAATCCAGAAGTGCATTTTTCCCATTCATGCCTTTCTGAGAAACTGGATGAACGTCTCAAAATCGGCAAATGGAATGTGATCATTCAAACAGTAGTGTTACTAAAGCAGGAATATTGGTTGTCAACATAGATCATTGCTATCTTCATGAAAACTTAATTGTTTTAAGAACATTATGATACCTTATCAAAAACATTTCGGTATATGATGTAATATTCATCAGCAGGTCCTTCCTCATTACAGCCCAGTCTTTCAGTTTCTGTAATTATGTATCTTTGCATACTTTCCAAAAATTCCTTGTCACTTCTACAAATGATAGGTGGGAGAACTGCACGTTTTCTTATTTGATGAACTGACATATTTGACAATCTGCACACTTGCTCACTGAAGAAAAGTTAAATCTTGACCTGCTCTTGCAACAAAGCCAAAACTTTGATAAGCCTGAAAGAAAAAGAGCAACAATTAATCTAATAATTTTTAAAATTAAGTCACATATTGATCTGAAAATATATTTTCTTCAGAAAAAAATTTTCCATCTGTCGCTGTGATAAATACTTCAACCTATGTATTAAAAGGTCTATGCTGCCAAGCGTGGTGTCTCATGCCTGTAATCCCAGGTCTTGGGGAGGCTGAGGCAGGTGGATCACCTGAGGTCGGGAGTTCGAGCCCAGCCTTACCAGAACGGAGAAACCCCGTCTCTATTGAAAATACAAAATTAGCCAGGCGTAGTGGCGCATGCCTGTAATCCCAGCTACTCAGGAAGCTGAGGCAGGAGGATCGCTTGAACCCGGGAGGCAGAGGTTGCGGCAAGATCGCGCCATTACACTCTAGCTTGGGCAACAAGAGTGAAACTCAGTCTCAAACAAACGAAAAACTATGCTATTCCACTGCCATATGCTGCTGCTCTGGGACAGAAACACAGAAATACCAAACACCAGTCAATGAAGAGCTCTTCTCTTCCTAACTGTGCACAACTCCTCTCACATGTATCATATAATTGATGGTTTCTCATGTATAATTCACACTTTCTAATAGAAGGTTTGGTATTTTATATTTATTTGTGTCATGTGGGAAAACTAGTTTGTAAGCCTCTTGACACAAACAAGGTCAAATACTTTACGACCCCCGCGCTTATGTGGCCTAGCTTCATCCAGCACACAACAGCTATAAATAATGTATTTCTTTTTGGCTCACGCTTGTAATCCCAGCACTTTGGGAGGCCGAGGTGGGCGGATCACGAGGTCAGGAGATCGAGACCACAGTGAAACCCCTTCTCTATAAAAATACAAAAAATTAGCTGGGCATGGTGGCGGGCGCCTGTAGTCCCAGCTACTCAGGAGGCTGAGGCAGGAGAATGGCGTGAACCCGGGAGGCGCAGCTTGCAGTGAGCCTGCAAGATGGCGCCACTGCACTCCAGCCTGGGCTACAGAGGGAGACTCTGTCTCAAAAAAAAAAAAAAAAAAAGTATTTATTTTATAATAAACTTTATTATAATCATCTTTAATATTAAAGTACTAAGCAAAAAGAGGTCAGGACTTCTGCTAAAATCCAACACTCAATTATGTCAAAAATAACAGTATTTTTCAGCGTAGAGCTTTCAAGCAGCCACATAGAGCTTGCAGTGAGCCGAGATTGCGCCACTGCACTCTAGCCTGGGCGACAGAGCGAGACTCCATCTCAGGAAAAAAAAAAAAAGAATCATGAGCGGCGGCGGCCTGGTGGGGGCGAGCACGCCGTGGGCCGGTCCAGCGCCGCCTCAGGGCACCTCCTACTCGACGGGACTGAGTTCCCCACCGGCGTGGCCTGCTGTGCTCTGAGCGCCAGGGGTCGGCGCGGCAGCTCGGCTTTGGGGACCCGATGGAGGAGCGGGGTGTCGGCCTCTCGGGACGGTCCCCCCTGACCTCGGGCGGCGCTGGGGCGAGTGAGGGCGCGCGGAGGCTAGCGGGGACCACTACCGCCCCCGGACCCGCTCAGCGGTCCCTGCTCACAGACGCCGCCCCCAGGAGCCTCGGCAGGGGCCTCGGACGCCCGGGTGTTCAGAAGAGAAGCGGGATCAGGTTCACGCACGCCCGCGATGGGACAGTAACTTTTTTTTTTGAGACGGAGTCTCGCTCTGTCGCCCAGGCTGGAGTGCAGCAGCGCGATCTCGGCTCACTGCAAGCTCCGCCTCCCGGGTTCACGCGATTCTCCCCCTCTCAGCCTCCAGAGTAGCTGGGACTACAGGCTCCCGCCACCACGCCTGGCTAATTTTTGTTTTTTTTTTTTTTTTTTTTTGAGACGGAGTCTAGCTCTGTCGCCCAGGCTGGAGTGCAGTGGCCGGATCTCAGCTCACTGCAAGCTCCGCCTCCCGGGTTTACGCCATTCTCCTGCCTCAGCCTCCCGAGTAGCTGGGACTACAGGCGCCTGCCACCTCGCCTGGCTAGTTTTTTGTATTTTTTAGTAGAGACGGGGTTTCACTGTGTTAACCAGGATGGTCTCGATCTGCTGACCTTGTGATCCGCCCGTCTCGGCCTCCCAAAGTGCTGGGATTACAGGCTTGAGCCACCGCGCCCGGCCTAATTTTTGCATTTTTAGTGGAGACGGGGGTTTCACCATGTTGGCCAGGCTGGTCTTGAACTCCTGACTTCGTGATCCACTCGCCTCGGCCTCCCAAAGTGCTGAGATTACAGGCGAGAGCCACCGCGCTCGGCTGATCGAAACTTTAAAGTCATTGGTAACCCACGCTTCCCGGAGTTGCATTTGGGGTCACCCAGCGGCAAAGCCCATACAACTTGATACGCCCTTACACACCAAGCTCAGTTCAGGAGAGGGGAGGTCACAACCAGGAGCCAGAGGCCAGCTGATAATGTTGTACTTGATTCCATAGTCAAAGGAGCTAGATGGCGTCTCATGCAGAGTGCCGCGCTCTGGGAGTGTTTGAGTGTGAACTCTATGCCTTGACAGCTCCCTACACCCAGTCGATAGTCCTGGAGGAAAGCTGTCATGAAGGATCCCTTCATCTCCGACAAGGTCAGATTCCTGGTCCTTGGCTGGCGCTGCAGTTTGTGCATCAGGTTGTGTGGCCAGTGTACTCGGAGTGATCCAGGAGTCTGAGAAGTCCCTGAGCATCTGGTACAGGGCGACATGCACACAGGGGAGCTGTATCAACAGCCAAGGGGGCATGAGATGGGCCAGGGCAGGAGGAGCCTCCGCAGTGCGGGTAGGGAGTGTCTGAGGCGCATTGAGGAGCTGGCGGTCCAGGAGAAGCTGAGAAAGGAAGACTAGAAAGGAGTGCAGTTTATTCTACTTCAAGAGATTCTGCCTCCCTTGTGTCCAGGAGAACATCGTGAATTTTCCTCAGGAAATTCAGCAAGGCTTGGAGAAAAGGGAAGCTCCGTCAGAGGCCCCCCAGCCAGCCCGGTTCTCGGACGTGAGTACAGCTGGGGCTGAGTCAACGGGCAGCACTCTGCAGGGAGCTCCTGGGCCAGCCTGCGCCAGAGATGCTGCTAAGCTGGGAGCCGCCGTGCCCGGCCTTGTTTCTGGACCATAGGGAGCAGCACTGCAGCCCAGGGGAGCTGGAGTCCAGCTTGGAGCAGCCACAGGCCCAGGGAGCTGTGCTGACAGGTAGCCCAAAGGCAGATAGATGCCAGACCAGACACAGCAGGGAACTGGGCCAGGCGCCCCCGCATGACCCTCAGGGCCGAGGCCTGAGTGAGTGCTGCTCAGATGTGACTGAGAGGGATGACCTCCTTCAGCGAGGCAGCTCCTAAGAGGCCACCTGCAGGTCCGTGTGGGGCAAGACGCCATGCTGTGTCGGGGCCATGGCACACAGTAGGTGACTGCAGTGGTTTCTCTGTAAGGAAAATCATTGACAGCAGTTGCCTTCTGGAGCCAGTCTGGAAGGTCTAGAGCAGGATATAATTTTTACTTCCCATCCTTATGTGATGCTTGGAAAATGGTTTTAACATTGATCATGTACTCTGTTTATAATTAAAAACCCAAAGAACCAGCAAATGTTTGGAAAAAGAATCTTCCACTGAAATATGTGTGGATACCTGACGTTCTCCCAGGGCACTCTGGACCCAGCAATGGTTGGGGTCTCCTGGGAAGCTAAGTGCTGGCTTACAGCCTCTCCAGTTCCCTCAGGCTCTGGCTTCAGCTCGGGCCCCTCCAATCTGTCTCTTCCAACCCCAAGTCAGTAATGCTGTGGGCTTCCTGCCCTCACCCCGCACCTCATGACCAACACGCTGCCTGCCTGCTTGCCCCCTGCCATCTTGAATTCAGTCCTGGGTGCCTTCAAAGCCTGACCCCACTGCCTGCCAGGGTTCCTGCAGCATCCCCTCCTCCAGGCTCCCCATCTCCCTGAAGCTTCCAGGTAGCAGTTGGTGTGGCACTGATCTGTGACCTCTGGAATGTCTGCTTAGAGTTCTGAGAGGCAGGAACTGCTCTTTGTAAATACTCAAGGCCAACTGTCACGCGATGAAGGAATGAATAAAGAGTTTTTACTGAAGGGCCGGGCGCGGTGGCTCAAGCCTGTAATCCCAGCTTGATTTTGGGAGGCCGAGGCAGGCAGATCACGAGGTCAGGAGATTGAGACCATCCTGGCTAACACGGTGAAACCCCGTCTCTACTAAGAATACAAAAAAATTAGCCGGGCATGGTGGTGGGCGCCTGTAGTCCCAGCTACTCGGGAGGCTGAGGCAGGAGAGTGGCGTGAACCCGGGAGGTGGAGGTTGCAGTGAGCGGAGATCGCACCACGGCACTCCAGCCAGGGCAACAGAGTGAGACTCCGTTTCAAAAAAAAAAAAAAAGGGGTTTTTAAAAAAAAAAAAAAAAAATCATTGTCTGACTGAAGTTGGATACAGAAGTTGGTTCCTAAGATTTAGTCATATTAAGTTCAAACAGAACTCTTGGCTTGCTTAATAATGGCTGGCAAGGCAAAACATTGTAACTTTTTCCCTAATTACAGAAGCATACTCCTGGTATAAAATTTGGAAAATAAAAACCAAACAAAATTAATGAAATAAATATCTATTTAATATTTTGGAATATTTCCTTCCAAACATTATAAAACTTGAAATTAAACTCTATATTCAGTTGTGCATCACATTTTTTTTCACTTACTATTAAAAGCACTTTTTCATGTTGTTAAATCGTTTTCTAAAATATGACTTCTAAAACTTACACAGTATTTCATGGTATGATGCTCCATTAATTTATTCCCCCATTGTCAGATAGTTTCACTATTTTTGTTTTGATTTGAGACAGTCTTGCTCTGTCGCCCAGGCTGGAGTGCAGTGGCATGATCTCGGCTCACTGCAACCTTCACTTTCTGAATTCAAGTGATTCTCCTGCCTTAGCCTCCCAAGTAGCTGAAACTAGAGGTACAGGGCACCATGTCTGGCTAATTTTCTGTAATTTTAGTAGAGATGGGGTTTCACCATGTTGGCCAGGCTGGTCTCGAACTCCTGGCCTCAAGTGATCAGCCTGCTTTGGCCTCAGCAGTTTGAAACCAGTCTGACCAATATGGTGAAACCCCATCTCTACTAAAAATACAAAAATTAGCCAGGCGTGGTGGCACACACCTGTAATCCCAGCTACTCAGGAGACTGAGGCAGGAGAATCACTTGAACCCTACAGGCGGAGGTTGCAGTGAGCTGAGATTGCGCCACTGCACTCCAGCCTGGGCAACAGAGGAAGACTCCGTCTCAAAAAAAAAAAAAAAAGAGGAAGAAACGAGTGTTGTCATTAGGGAGGGGGTAGTGACATTTGGACACCAGTGGCTTCCTATACTATTACCCTTAGGATAAAATCCAAATTCCTTTACTTGGCCTATTAGTGCCCTTCAGGAACCAATTACTCTTGTTCTTTGAACAAATTTACTCTCTTCATGTCCCTGTCCTTTGCCCCATATTCCCATCCCCACTCCCATGAACTTCCTCTCTTACCTTAGGATCTTTCATAATTTTCTCCCCCTCCCTGCAGACCATCCTCCTACATTAGCCCCAACCCCCAAAACACATACATACTATCACTTTGATTCACTTGGCTTTTACTCACTCAGCTTCCGGAAAGCTGTCCTGGATTCCCTTTAAATTGGTCAGATGCCACTGCTATGTTCTCCCATAACACTGTGCACTTCCTCCATCATGGTATTATTCTTCCACCACACTGCCTTACAGACTTCCTGTTTATAGTCTGTCTCATCTGTTAGGCTACAAGCCTGACAAGATTAGGAAACAAAATGTTCTCATTCCCCATTATCCCTTCTCCACCATATGCATGCAAGTGCATAATACAGTTTCTAGCAGAGCAGTACTCAAACATGTTTGCTGAATAATCAATAATCACTGAACAACAATCTAGTCTGTTTATAAGACATTGGACTTGTGGTGCGCTCAAACCATAACACAGCTAAAGTGATTGCTCCTTAGCATCTACAAAATGCCATTGAGTTACATAAACCAACCAAGATTACCATTCATTCATTCATTCATATGAGACATTTAGGGATATGTTGACAAGTCACAAGGGTTCCTAGTCAAGTGTTCCAGGTCTAGTAAAGGAGCCACTGCTACAAAGCAGAAAAGGCAGTGCGACAGAGGTGAGCACAATGGGCTACAGAAGGCCAGAGGGGCATCTCATCAGCCTGTGGAAGGGGGCAAGGAAACATGAGGGAAAACATCTAGTAAAACAAAATCTAGGGCAATGCTTAAGTTGTGCTGCATTTATTTACTCAATATTTGGGGGGCACCTATTGTTTGTCTGCCATTATTTTAGACAATGGAGACACAGGATTGAACAAAACGAAGTCCCTAATCTCATAGAGGTTACATTCATGTAGAGACAGACAACACACAAGAAAAAAAAAAAGGCCAGGCACGGCGGCTCATGCCTGTAATCCCAGCACTTTGGAAAGCCGAGACAGGTGGATCACTTGAGGTTAGGAGTTCGAGATCAGCCTGGCCAACATGGCAAAACCCAGTCTCTATTAAAAAATACAAAAATTGGCCGGGCGCAGTGGCTCAAGCCTGTAATCCCAGCACTTTGGGAGGCCGAGACGGGCGGATCACGAGGTCAGGAGATCGAGACCATCCTGGCTAACACAGTGAAACCCTGTCTCTACTAAAAAATACAAAAAACTAGCCGGGCGAGGTGGCGGGCGCCTGTAGTCCCAGCTACTCGGGAGGCTGAGGCAGAATGGCGTAAACCCAGGAGGCGGAGCTTGCAGTGAGCTGAGATCTGGCCACTGCACCCCAGCCTGGGCGACACAAAAAAAAAAAAAGAGAAAAATTAGCTGGGCACAGTGGCTCACACCTGTAATCCCAGCAACTTAGGTGGCTGAGGTATGAGAATCGTTTGAACCAGGGAGGCGGAGGTTGCAGTGGGCTGAACTTATACCACTGTAATACAGCCTGGGTGACAGACGAAGACTCCGTCTCAAAAAAAGAAAAAAAGAAAAAAATTATAGATAGATAGATAGATAGATAGATAGATAGAAAGAAATATAGTATGGCAGATGGGGGTTAAGTTGTATGAAGAAAAATAAAACAAGGTATGGGGCATAGAGAGTAAGGAAGGTGGCAGGATGCTATTTTCTATAAGGGCAGTAAGTCATGACAGACAAAAGACCTCACTGATAAGGTGACATTTCAGAAATCTGAAAACAGCAGGTCATGTAGATTCCTGGAAGATGAGTAGTTGAGGCAAAGACAGTAGCCAGTCCAAAGGCCTCAGGGTGGGACAGAACATTTGAGGAACAGCAAGAGAGCCCGTGGGGCTAGAAGAAAATGAGAAAAGGAGAGAAGAGATGAGGTCAGAGAGGTAACTGCCAGATTATGTAGGATGTAGGGTCTTGAGGGCAGAACTACTATCAGCCCAGGGGGTATCTTTGTGCGGTTTAGAAAAAGAGGTCCCTTATCTGGGCAGACTTGGCAAGAGGAGCAACACTGGACTGTGGCCTCTACTTGTTCCAGCGCTGGAGCAACAGCCTCAGTTGTAGGAATTTAGGCTTTCCTCTGAGTGAGATGCGAAGCCTTTAGAGGCCTGTGTGAGGAAGAGTGACAGCTGACTTAACATGTTAAATAATTGTTCTTGGCCAGGCATGGTGGCTCATTCCTATAATCCCAGCACTTTGGGAGGCCGAGGCGGGCAGATCACCTTTTAAACATATTAAAGCTTGTCAGCACTAAGGAGTGACACACCAATACTCAGACTCTTCTTCCCTAGGCTGGGAGAGACTTGGCCGGTTGAAAGCAGGGCAGGGGCCTGACAGCGAGAAA